AGTTTGCATCACATAAATTGAATAAGGAACTAACTTACTAATAAAAACTGCCTCTTTCCCAGACAGAAAAACTAAATGGGATGTCTTTCTCTGTTTTAAAACATTATCCCTTTTAATGTTTAAAACAAGATGCTTAAACCATGCTAAACATTTCCCTGATGTCTCACTGATGTGTTGACAATGATAAAACATTCTGATTTTCTCTTAAGGACGGAACATCCCATTTGTAGCTGTTTACAAGACACAGAGAGATGGAGACAGTGAGATGCATGACAGGGAGAGTAAGTATTTCTACCAACTTTATCACTAATTTGCATTTACAAAACTCTGGATTATGTTAATAACATTACGTGCGACCTTGTGGGCAGTAAAATAATCACTGAAAATGGAAATTACCTTTTCAAAAGGGACAGACGTGGTTCTTTTAAAATTGGGGAATGACCACCTGCGCCCTGAGTGACTTTTTGTTTACAAGCCAAGTCCAGCATGTTGCTAGTAATCAAATTACTTCTCAGAATGGATTCTCATTCAATTATAACCTGCCCAACATCAATATCAGCAAACAGTAATTTGATTACTACAGTATGCTTGTGTGACAGTCTGTCATCTTCACCTACATGTATATGATGTCCACGCCATGATGTCCACTATGTTAAAAACATTCTTGATGTTATTTGGTAGAATATTTGTATTTAGCTGTTGAACTGAGGACTTTGCTTGGGAACCAGAAAGTTGCCATTTCAAGTTCCATTTCAATTTCCAATTATTGTTACCAAATGTTCACCTACAAAACTAGTGAGTATGCTTTTTTTTAAGGCTTTTTTACACGGACAAATGTAAATGTATATTGACATTAAGATTAAAAAAGCTTGCATCCATGCAATGCTTATGTTTTGCAGGTAGTGCTTAACATGTTAACAATGAATCCTGGACACAGTTTCAGTTAACATGTTTATTTGCTTTGTATTTGGATAGAGTTCATGATGACATTTAAAGATGATAAGAGGCTTTGATATGGTGTGGGGATGCTTTCTTCTATGAATTTTACATACATATTTTCAAACTATGCACACTGGAATTTGCTTGACTTGGTTAACAGATATCATACCAACCATCTTACTGTCCAAACCTTAATACAGTTAACTTTGTTTACTGCAACATTATTAGTTAATTTTGTGATGTCTACAGGTATTGCAGAAGTACACAACCTGGAGAGCAATGACAACCTGAGGCTGACCCTGGACTCCATGCAGATGCCCACTGTGGAATACAAGGAGATCAACATTGATGACTACAGTATGTGTCATGTTTCAAAGCCACAGTCACATTAGTGGACAAGTCCATGCAGTCCATACACAAGTTATCTGATAGTTGTCAGAAACAGACTGTAGAAAAAACCTAGGGTAACAACTTCCAGTCTGGGAATCACTGCTGTTCAGGACAGTGTAGTTAACTGCAACGTTTACATTTTAATATCGATTTGGCATGAGATGATTTACTTCTTCATACCTATCTAATATCTACGGGGCCTGGAGGGTTCATAGAGAGAGAAATAAATAAAACGTGTCCACGATTTATTAACTTGTGCGCACGAGATGTAAAGCGTGGCCACGCTTTAAATACAACGAGGCCACGCTTTATTAATTCGTGCGCAAAAGTTAATGAAACGTGGCCCCGTTTTGTATATTAAAACGTGTAACTCAGCAGAATCTGAGAAGAGCAGCACCAGCTGCAAAGAGCTGTGCCTTTTACTGGTTACTTCACTGTGTTTCCCTTCATCAGAACCACTGAATAGAGATCGAGGCTGCACACACCTCTACACACATCGAGTATTCCCCCTCGTTTTATGAAGGAGATGTCCTGTCACCAGGGCGCATGATGTGTGTGTGTGTGTTTGTGCTCAGCTCCGCTCTGTGTGTGCGTGTTCGGTGTGTTTGTGTTTGTCCGACACCACCGGCATTTGTTTTCAAATTACCACGAACAGTAATTTACACTAATCTTTTTCTCCATAGTTATATGTGTATTCCCAATGAAGAAATGTGTTTACATCTTAATCATCGATGTAGTAGTGCTATAGTCCTGCCGGAGTGCACCGGAACAAACGACACTATCATAAACAAATGCCCACACACACACACACGCCCTGGCGACCGGACATTATTTTTCATAAAACTAATACATTTAAATTGAGGCCACGCTTTATTAACTCGTTAATAAAGCGTGGCCTCAATTTAAATAAAACGTGGCCACGTTTTATTTATTTGTCTCTCTACGAACCCTCCAGGGCTCCGTAAATATCACATACCATTGTTAACATGCCCTGCTGACATATATTCCAATGATACATATATATATATATATATATATATATTCCACTGTACATCCCATCCTCCAAAATCCTTTTCTAGATCTAGATGGTATAGTATCAATACAGTATCAATGAACGTTTATCATGAACTGGTAATACATAAATAAGGTTCAAAATATACAGTAGAGTTTCTCAATTAAAGGAGCATATTTAATGTTTGTTTGCAATGTTATGTTTTGCATAACAGTTGTTTGTATCTACACTACAGCTCTGTCAATGCAGATCCTCAAACCTGCCGGCTTCGTGGAAACATCACACTATCCTGTGCTCCTGTTGGTGTATGTATTAGCATATTTTTTCACATACTTGTGTGAAGTACTGGTCTAATCATTTTGACATGGAAAAAGTGTGTGTCCATTAGCAATGCTGACCCAACATGGCTTCCTGGACTGAGTTTTAATCAAGCATATTTTTCTCCACTCTTCTTGGATAATAATAACACTGGGGATAAAGACACTTATCCTAATCCTCCTGTCCACCCCTTTATTTTACTAGCATTTATTTTGTACTTTTATATATCTTTTGCTTAATTCTAAACTTTTTAGAAATCACCTTTTGGAATCCGCTTGTTTGCATCTCAAGCGCATATGCCTATCTAATAATTACAATTATTTAACTGTATTAAAGTGACTGTCTTGGAACAAGTTATATCTGCTGCATTTTAGCTTTATTTCATCCTAATGCTAATCTGTACATGTTGCCTATTGTCAGTTCACAGATACAGTACCCATAGTAAATAGTAAACCCAAAATTACGAACATAAGAGCAATAATGTATTTGGACAATGACAGGAAACTGCTTATTACCCTCAATTTCCAAAGAGAAACCAAATTATTATTTATTCCCAGCGTAATCCTTTGATATTAAGAGAAAAAAAAGAAACAATGCTTTGCCTTAAGCAGTCTTAAATACCGTATTTTCCGGACTATAAGTCGCTCCTGAGTATAAGTCGCATCAGCCAATAAATGCGTCGTGAAGAGGAAAAAAACGTATATAGGTCGCACCGGACTATAAGTCGTATTTATTCAGATATTTATTTTCAAATCCAAGCCAATAACAGACATTTACGGTAAACTGGAAAGGGAAGTTATTAACTACACAGGTCCGGTATGTTAACGCAACACATACCTTCTACCTGGAGGCTGGCTCTGCGAGTCGGGCTAGGGTGGCATGCTTCTACCCCTTGACGCGCTCCGACGGAGGACTGCTGGGACAGACGGGGCATCTCGGACGCACCCACTGAGCATTCGGCCGCTGGGCTGGTAGGGGTGGACCCTGCGCCGCACCGGACACAAGACGGCGGGCTAACAACAGACGGCTAACAAGCTAACAAGACGGCTAACAACAGATGGCTAACAAGCAGCTAACCCGGAAGAACCGTCCGCTCTCTTCTTCGTTTTTTTCAGTGGTACAGGAGCAGCATATAGTTGTCACAAGCCTAGAGCGC